AGACCCGGTAACGATTGACTTTTTTTAGTTTTGATGTCCTTAGAGGCCAAAAACGCCAACCGTACAAATTCATATGAATCAAACAATAGAAACAGGTTTTTTGGTTTTTTTTTAAGGAGGTACAAATTGTTATCCCATTTTTGAGAAAAACTAAGCTAACGCTTCGCGCGGCCATATACAGTTCTCGATCGGCAAAGACGTACTTTGCGATCTTACACAAATAGCTATCACCGTGTGATAAACTTCATATTTCCGCACTACTGGCCTAAACATACTGACCCTTGTAAGGCTAACGGCGAAAAACGAGAATAGTTTATATTGTTTACCGTAATTATATCAGATAACTTAAAAAATCACTGTCATCTTGTTTGGTTATTATAAACAGCTGGGATATCATACTATTTTTGTGTCACGAATGTGTTATTTCCATGTATTTTATCTTATCAGAGCCAAATTATACAAATCACAATACAACCTACAACAACTGCAACTGCAACTGATAATAGCAATCGATAACTGTTCTCAATACATTCGATTATTTACAATCAGATTTCAAAAGTGAACAGTTAATGTTTCCGAATCCAGTTGAATCGTTTTTGCCCTAGGGATGAAAATAACTTCTTAGCCCTGCACCACATGTATTTAAAACAGTTGTTGTTACTGTAGCACAAAATGGGAGCGGGTTAGTCAGCTGCTGTAGTGGTAGAGCGCGGGACTTGAGTGCCCGAGGTACCGGGTTCAAATCCCGCCAATCACCAAAGGAATTCACCTATGTGATAATGTCACGCCCCTCCAGGACTAGGTGGGAGAAAAACTGAAGAATATAATATAGAAATTACATCAATATCGGTGGCCTAATTTTTATTACAATTGAACTTTTTAATATAATAAATAGGTTACATACCTTATAAATCCGACAAAAAGCTCATTTTGAAAAGAAGGTTGTTTACATGTTTCGGCTTGAATCGGCCATTGTCAAAACATCGCAGTTGGATGGTGAAATCCTTGTCATTGTTTCCTACTAAAAGTACATACACGAACACACACACACAGGCGGGACGAAAACATTACGAAAACGAAAATACTTTTAATAGGCCTATTATGTAGAATACACGGGGAGGACGCACGCACACCGTTGTCAAGGTCAGGATGCATCCTGACTAAATGTATTATTATTTATGTGTTGAGTTCGATTTTAATAACTTACGAACATTTAAACTACCAACGACAATTTTGTTTTTGTATACGAGTACCTAAATTTTCCAGGAATCAAAACCGTACTACTTGAACCGAAACCCTAGATAAAAGAAAACGGGCAAAATGATCCTTTTAGTTTACCCTTGTTCCCTTACATGAGTTCCGAGAAAACGTTTAACACTGGGGTTTCATGTGTCAAATTATAGCTTATCCAATACGTAGAATTTTAATTTTAAATCAATAGGAAAATTATAACCAAGATTAAACAGTTAAGAACAAAGTTCATAAGCAAGAGGACTTAAAATGTTCCTATACTTTGTGCGAACCTATGAAAATTCTCATAAAAACATGTGTTTTTTTATTTGACCTAATTTTATATTTAAACAGATGATGATATAATATAGAACTAATTATTCATATTTTCAACATGATTTTAACAAATATTATATAATAGGTACAATTTACGAGACAGCAACTGTATTTTAAAATTTATAAAATGTTTGGTAAAGCTATTTTTTTTATAAATAATTTTCAAACGTTTCGCTATTCTTGATCTACTGCACTTCATAAAAAATTGTGTGCGTTCATCTTACATGTGTAGTCGTACCTTAGGATACAAAATAAATTTGGAATGAAGCATAAAACGTTTCGCAAGTAATACAAATGAATCTATAAAGTCTTTTTGGAGCGGATAAATTCAAAAGGCAATTCCAAAGTTCGCTTATTTATTACAGCCAAAGGTACTAAAGGCATTACGGGCAGGGCAAGAAATTACATCCCCACCTGAATTTGAATCCTGAAAAACTATTGCTAAGGGAAATGAGATTCAATAAAATTTATGGTTAACCTACGATTTTCTTATCTTATTAGAGATGGATGGATCTCAGTGCTTGTCTTCGTTCAACAATCCTAAGTCATAATTATTATGTTACGATTACAGAAATCCTTCTAAAATACTTACTAACCTAAAAACATGAAATTTTGTGATTTATTTTCTAACCATTTTGTAGATGTTATACATTTTGTAGAGCTTAAAAGAATAAATAATTTAGTATACTGAAGCGTTATTGTATCCCTAACAGTTAAAGAGAAAATGAAAATAAGTGTTAATTAAACATGTCTATGTTATTCTTATGGAATAACTTCTTAAGTATTGTAGAGTAATTTAAGTTTTGGCACCTAGGAAAACTATTTATTTTAGAGGCGCGATTTGTTTAACAAATTATGTTCGACATTCATATCGTACGTTTGTTTCTAATAAAGCTTACATTTCATTGTATTGTAAAGCAAAAGTTAAAAATAATAGCTGGATGATAATAAGTGTGCGTTGTACTAGGTAAAATATAAATATTGACTAGTACAATCACGGAGCAGAATGATTGGACTATGGGAGTTGTATTCTAATGTTACTCCCATGTTATTCAAGGAGAATAAGTAAATTGTTGCAGTTTGCTACTTTATGGGTATATTCTGATGAAATTTGGCAGATTTACTTACTCATGCCTAAGCTGATAAATTTTACTAAAAACGCAGCTCCCCTGTAACAGCAATCCTAAGTGCTTATATAACCTGATGTTATTTAAACAGGGAATGAATATGATGCATTTAAGGAAATATTTAAGCGAAAATCCAATCAGGTATATGGAAATTCACTTAGCAGATTTGCTGCGACAAGGGTGCTATTTTAACTATGAACATAATAATATTAGCATGACGGCCCTAAAAACAAGTACTTTTGCAAGGGAACCATTTTATCTTAATTTAGAGAAAGAAGTGTAAGGACGTTTCCAACATAAATAGAATTCATTTTTGAAGTACAATAATACACTTTTCTGCGTACGCTCAGCCGTTTTAACAAATAACGTTCTCTAATTGATTGCATTATTTCGAGAAACCTCTTAGAAACGACAAAAGATTGAGACAGAGAGCTTGACTCGGGAAATAAACGACTAAAATGAGATTCGACATTATAATATTCAACAGAAGGTTTCATTGAAAAGAAAAATATATGGGAAAGTTTCTTAATAAATGAGACAGAGAAGAATTGTATCACTGAGAGCAGTACTTGACTGAGGCAGATGGAAGATTGAGCCATGAAATCATCTGTGTCCTGAATCCGTTCATATTGTTTAGAAGCTAAAAAGAAAATAAGTTTTCCTACAGTACCCTGACAGAGTGGTTTTCCTTGCACTGATTATAGCACGCAAAGTAGCTAATTGCTGTATTTACTTTCTTTTTCCGCACTCATTTTTTTGGCCTGACTCCAGTATTCCAACCAAACAACACAAAACTGAGTAATTTTATTAGGCACTCAATACGTGTACGCTTGAAATAATCATACTTTGTGGTATTATGTATATCCAAAAAATTGACCAATACACATTCGGTATAAAATCTATAAATCAATAAATTGATCCACTCCTAAACGGCGTGAAATTTACACCTCAATCGACAAACGTGGTTTAGCTAGTTTTAAATACATATTTCTTACATATTACTATACCTTAAATCAAGTCCTTTATTTATCACTGATTAAACCTAAAACTCGATGAACTAAATTGCGCGACAAAGGAAATTTTAGGTAAGTAAAAATATGATTGGGCGACTAACGTCTAGTTTATGATGGTGTAAATCACTAAAACGGCTTCACGAAACTTTTAAACTGTCATCCAACAAGACAACCCTACAAATCATCCTTCTACTGCTCTATTAGCTGTCCCCGTCAGCATCTATCTTCCTAGACGATCAGTGTGTTTCTATCAACAATATAATACCCTCCTTTTAAGGTTTTTATTTATCTGGTAGTCTTATAACTATTAGCGAATTTTCTAGGGAATAAGCTATAACCGTAGGTCTCATAGTACATATCGAGTAAAAATGATCCGATTTTGAAAAAATTTGGTACAAACGTGTAAACTTACGTTTAGTACGCGAACCAGCATGATTGGACTATGGAAACTGGGTGTTATGGGATGAAAATGGAAATTTCCCATTTTTACTCTTCAATCATAACACTTTGTTATTACTTTCTAAACCATTTAGTAGAGCTAAATAAACTAATAATTTAGTACATTGAAGCGCTGTTGAACGCTAAATGATTAGAAAGAAAGGTTTGAAAAAATGTAAATTTAAAATCTCATATTAATAACAAATCTCAGTAAATTACTCAACTAAACACCTTTACAAACTGCTGTAGTTTGCTTGTTTATCTTGTCGAATTTGGAAAATATGTTAATTTTAAACTAATATTGACATGTAACTAATGACACACATTATTAGATTTCGTGTAGGAGCAAACCTAATTGTATTTAAAGAGTGAATAAAATTTACATTTGTAAAGAAATATTTTAGTGACAATTTAATCAGGCAAATGGAAATCAACTGAAAGGTTTGTTACTGCGGGAGTATATGTTAACGCTTTTATTGCACAGCCTCTTAAAGATTAAATCAAATAAACGGCCATGAAAACACCTAGAAGCACTATCAGTATATGATGGGTTAATTTAATGTTGAACACTTACCAAAACTTTTAACAACTCATATTTCATTCCTCTAAGAGGAACGATCTACTTTAAAATATACATTAAGATTAATTGCATTTAATGCTTGAAATTTGTTAGTGAATCTGCAGGTTGTCAATTTTTAATTAGCTTTTAAGGAAGGTTAACCAAGCTAAAGTGCTGCGTTGAAGAAAATTTATCAACTATACAATTTTAAATAAAATAATAACATTTCCACCTGTTGTATAATAATATTATTTATATTTATATATTAGGAGTCAGCAGCGGATGGCAGTCGCCGAAATGGCAGACGCACATGCCAATAAGGTGCTGGCACTCCAGCACCTCAGAGTCGGCTGGGTCAACTGCAGGCTCAGACGGAGAGTGGAAGTTAAGAGGTATTTTAAATGCTTCTTTTCGGCCATTCCTCCCGAAACTGCAAGGGACCCGACCGAAGCAAGAACTGCCTTCGGTGCGGGGAGGTCGGTCACATCCGTAAGGACTGCCAAGTCGAGTCCTGTTTCCTTTGCAAAAAAATGGGCTCGCTGACAACACTTGAAGCATATAGCTGGATCTGGATAGTGTAGTGTATTTAAATCTGTACTACAACAAGCGAAAGCCCTCCCACGAAGATAAGAATCCTTCAGTGCAATCTTGAGCGATCCAGGACGGCTGTAGCGCTTCTTTCTTCAGCTTGCCCTAGAACACGATGTCGACGCGCTCTTAGTCAGCGAACAGTACCAGTACCGTGATAGGGACCCATCTTTTTGGTTCCCTGATAGTCTTCCCTCACAAATTCCCGGAGCAAGTACATTCTGGACTTTAGTGCCAGAGCCGGACTCGTTGTCGTCAACGAGGGCAACACGCCAACTTTCCGGCGTCCTGGGATGCGGGGAACGATCCCAGACATTACCCTTGCATCTGAGTCTCTTTTGCCAAGGATCAGAGCCTTGGAGAGTCCTGGAGGATTACACGACCAGTGATCACCAGTACATAATTTTTGATGTCCTGGATGGTCATCAGAGACAAGTAGCCGCGTTTCGTCAAGTGCCCGTTCGATGAAATTGGAAAAAAAAATTGGATGTGGCAAAATTCAATGAAGCCATCTTACGAGGAACGCCGGTGGTACCTCCCGCAACTAGCGTGGCTCACGCAGAGGCGGTAGTTACATCCATGATGGGACTGATCGTCTCGGCTTGCGATGAGTCTATGCCTCGCAGGAGATCCCGGTGCAAAAAGCAACCTGTGTATTGGTGGACTGCCGAGATTGCGGAATTGCGTTGGTCAGCATTGAGAGCCAGAAGACTTGCTACCAGGGCCAGAGAACCTGTAGACAGACGTCGTAAGTCGGATGCTTATAGAGTGGCAAGGAGGTCTCTTCGTCGTTGGTGGGAGACATTAAGGGACGATGTCGATTCCAATCCGTGGGGCCTGGGTTACAAACTTGTAACCAAGAATCTTGGCAACCGCTCTCCACCTTCCGTCATGGATGTGGCCACTATGGAGAGGATAGTCGAGTCCCTTTTCCCGGCTCACACGATGCGCCCACTGCGGGATTTCGGAAGGGTGGATGACGTACTACTTTTCAGTCTTGGAGAGATGGATGCGGCCGTCCTATCCCTAAAGAACAACAAGGCTCCTGGACCCGATGGGTAACCCGGCGAAGTCGTCAAGAAGGTTTTGACTATCCAACCCCTTGATCCTTTTGCGCATGTACAACGCCTGCCTAGTCGAAGGAGTTTTGCCCTCGTGCTGGAAAACAGCTAGGCTTGTGCTTGTTGGGAAGGGTAAGGGAGACCCAGACCTGCCATCCTCTTACAGACCTCTGTGTATGCTGGTTACGGCTGGTAAAGTCCTCAAAAACCGTTCTCGACTGAATTCAGCCGAAGTCGCTATGGATTCAGGATGGGGCGATCTACGGTTGACGCTGTTGAGGAGGTGAAGCAAGCCGTGATGAGAGCGGAGGATTTTAACCACTACTCTCGTAGGGTTGTGCTGCTCGTACAACTCGATGTGCGAAACGCATTTAATTCCGCGAGGTGGTGCGATATGCTGGATGCTCTTGAGAACACCTTCCACGTTCCGGCACGTTCTCATGCGTATCATAGAGGATTATCTCTGGTTCCGCCTCCTCATATATGACACTACAGAACCTCCTGAGGTCTGAAATTCCTGAGGAAACTGTTTTGGTTGGGTACGCAGACGACGTTGCAGTTTTGATAGCTGCACGTAGCGTTGAGTTGGCTCAGCTAAAGCTGAACCGAGTTATGCGTAACATAAACGCATGGATGGCAGACCACGGCCTCTCGCTTGCTTTGAGCAAAACTGAGATCGTGATATTAACAAAAAAAAAAAAAAACTGATTGACACCATCGTGCCGTTGAGGGTAGGGGCCGTCGAAGTCCAGACCGTTCGTTCTGCCAAGTACCTTGGGAGTTATGGTGGACTGCAAGCTTAGCTGGCGGGATCAGATTTTCCGTACGACGGACAAGGCCGCTAGGGTGGTTTCCTCTCTTAGCCGGTTGATGACCAATCTTGGAGGGCCTCGGTCTAGCCGTAGAAGTCTGTTAATGTCTTCTGTCCAGTCCGTACTCTTGTACGGTGCCGAGGTGTGGACAGACGCTCTCAATAAGGAGGTATAAAGGATGCGGCTCGCCCGAGTGCAGCGTCAGGCAGCACTAAGAGTTGCATCCGCCTACTGAACAGTGTCCGAACCCGCCGTCCTGGTGTTTGCTGGAGTCATCCCCGTCAAACTTTTGGTGGCGGAGTGAAAGGCAATTTATCAGCGCCGGGGGGAGAACCAGGCACGAACAGAGGAACGCACCCGCACCTACCAGCTGTGGCAGGAGAGCTGGAAACAGGAGACTCGGGGACGCTGGACCAGGCGACTGATACAGAAAGTCCAACCTTGGGTTAATCGGCGGTGCGGAGAGGTGGACTTCTACCTCACCCAATTTCTGACGGGTCACGGCTTTTTCCGGTCGTACCTGTTCAGGATGGGCAAAGAAATGTCACCCGATTGCATATACTGCCCAGGCATTCCCGATGACGTGGAACATGCCTTTTTCCACTGGCAGCGTTGGGAAAGGCCCCGCCTGGAGGCTCAACAGTTAGTAGGACTGCTATCAGTGGGCACGGTCATACCGATGATGACGGAGGGTGAGGACAATTGGACCTGTGTGTCACATTACATCTAGGGTATTCTCCGCGCCAAGAAGCTCGATCTTGACCGAAATGCGGTGTAGGTCATAAAGTATCAAAATGCCAAAACGGTGAAAGCCCTGAGGGCTTAGGTCACACGTTGGCCTGACTTGAAGTAATGTGACAAACAATTCCAGGTCCGTGTCCAACAGAGTAGAGGGGGTTTTTTAGTGAGTAGTCTGTGATAGATTCAGGAGTCTCACACTACAGGCTGGCTGGCACAAAATTTGTGCGTAAAAGCATTTTCCCTCCTCTCACTTAACAAAAAAAATTATTATATATTTTTATATTATTTCCCTTATTCACACATAGTGCAGTTATTACTGCGTTTTAAAATAATACCCCCGCCGCAGCAAACTTGCAGACTAGGCAAATTTCCATTTGCCTGATTTGATTTTCAGTTAAATCTATTTAAATAACATTTGGTTTAAGGAGAATTAGGTTTGCTGCTATAGGAAAAATTATAAAGTGTGTTTTTTAGTAAAATATTAATAGCTTAGTTTAAAATAAATAAATTTGCCAAGTTTGATTCAAATATATTCATTAACAAGCAAAATATAAGTTTACTTATTCACCACAAAAATAACATAGACATTTTAATTTTATATTTGTATGAATTTTCTCCATAACCAATAAGCGTACAAACATACTATTTTTTTTTTGTTTTAGTTTTATCTTTAAATTAGCTTAGAGAAAGTAGAAAGTTTTAAGTTTTGAGGGTCAAAATTGGGAAAATTTGTACCCCTTAAAACATTCGCCAAAAACCCCTTTTCTCATTGTTTAATTTATATGAATTTGAACGGTGCTTTTTTTGCCTCTGTGGTCGTAAAAATGAAAAAGTAAATCGTCCCAAATTCTAGGTTTTACAGTCCATTTTGTGGTAGCAACTTTATCCTATACGAAAAATCGGTAGTAGATAATATTTAAAAAGTATAACGTAAAAAAATACAAATTCACAAATCTACTAATTGTAAGGCTGTATGTGGCAGACACCTGTCTGAAGGAGTGTGTTTGACAGCAAAACTTTCGTCGTATCCGAATTGAAGTTCACAGACATTTCCTAGAATTGATACCACGATGTGCACATAGGATCTCGTCTAACTAATAACAAATATCAAATTCTTTCCCTGAAACCAATTTTAGTACTTCTTTGACGTTTAAAATTAGTTAAGAATATGTTTTTAAAAACAAACAGTTTTTCGTATTGAAGCGTTGTTGGTCATTTAAAGATGACGAATAAAATCAAATAAAATCTCTACGTATAAAATCACAATGTTATTCTTATGGAGAAAAAGTTTACCGTTCTTTGTTTATGAATGTATTTTGATCACATTTTGCAAATGTATTTACTAAAAACAATGCTATTAGTATAAACAAAACTTTTTTCATCCCATGTGGTTACAAACCTAGGTACTCACGAAGCTTAATGTTATTTAAACAGTGAATAAATCTTACATGTTCGAGAAAAATCAGACAAATAGAAATTTGCTTATTATGTAGGATTCTAAAGGTTTTAGTATCATTTGGATCTCCCCGTAAAAATTCGTTAACTTTGTGAAACCTGTTATACTGCTAATAAAAATATTTGAATTTGATTCAAAACCCGCGAATTCAATGTTTAAGTGCTAAGTGAAATTACAGCTCAATGAAGGCTGGTTTGTTATTGTTTTATCTGGCTATTTGAGAGGTGGGCAAGGGGTAAATCAATTGCCCATTCCACCTCTCTCCCCCAAATGCCCACTGCCCCTTAATGAGATCGGTGATCCACATGAAAACAACACTTTGCCGCACGTCGCCAAGTGGATAACATTTTACTGGAAGTAAAAAAAAAAAACAAGCTATAAAGGTTTTTAGATGCATAAAATGAGGTATCAATTTAATTATTAGTTTGCATTTTAAATGTGTTTTTTGATTGAACTTATTGATAAAATAATATCTTGGTAATGGATTTCATTTTAAACTTTTTTTGAAAATGCATTTCAGTTCAATTAAAAGCATTCACTCACAATTTCACTCTTAGCATATTCTAACTACCAACACACAAAAAAACAGAAACAAATGCTATTAAACTATCCACATTCAAAGTTGTTAAATCTAAAAAAAAATTCGGCTGCTTTCAATTATTTGATATATGCATTTGAATCAGAATTTTCACGATTTGTCATCGATCGTTCTTTAATTTTATCGTATTCGTACC